GTTACACATATGGTTGTTTTTAGTCATTGTGATTTCATACAAATAATAAAGTAAATGATAAAAACTCTGCTGTTCTTTGCAGGGTGTACAAAAACAAACTGTATATAACTTTGTGTATATAACATCATTAATACAATTAAATTTTTCAGATGAAACAGATAATGTGTTCAAAATGGGCACAAGCACAGATATGAATAGAAGTTTCACTTAAAAAAAAAAAAAAAAGCTCATCACAAAGGCTTAGAGTGCATCTGCTTGAGACTACAGTTGTGTATTGGGACTGCGGACAGAAAAAAACTAAAAAGTCACACGAGCATGGATTTTTTTTTACTTTCATGCAGACGTGAGCAAGAGCTCAAATAAAGACCACATTCATTAATATGAATGTGGAGCAGTCCTTACTGACTGCCTTATCAGGGTTGCAGTGGTTTAAATTACTATATTTTGGGAAATAAAACCAACTAAATTTGTTAGAAAATATCGCAGGCAGGTACAGACAACAATAATAACAGCACAAGCGGGATTAAAAACAGTCCTGTGCATGTTTCTATTTGAGGCTAGTTATGAATTGGAGTGATGAGGTTAGGAGAATTCACAAACCGTGCTGGCATTTCTACCTCTGGATTATTCCTAGTGTTTATTTCATGTTTAGGCCACGCCCACTTCAGATTTAAATCCGAATACAGATATGGATATTTGAACCCCTAGTCAATAAAATATACTATTTACCCACAGAATAATATGTACAGATTTCACAGTGTTTTTCCAAGAGAATCTGCCACAGTTCCTTGGCCTTAGCACATGCTTCTGTTTTTGCAGATAAAACCAGACAGCCTCTATTATGTTGTTAATTAACCTGTATTACATATTACATGTTTGAATGTAATACGGCAGTTCATAGCGGTAGGCTTCACATTTAATTTAAAAAACAAAACAAAAAAAACACCAGGTTTAGGCCGCTACCTTTTCGAGTTTAAATCTGAATCCGAATACAAATACAAGTATTTGGAGCACTAAACAGATAGTGGCATTGCGTTACACCCCTGTTGTACAAAATACAGTATCTACCCAATTTTGCATATTGAAAGTTTATTTGACTGTGAATATTTCATTCTATGCCCGTTTACTGCAGTCAAAGTCTCATATTAGTTACATGCTTATGCTCTAATACTATATGGCCAAAGCTATGTGGACACATGACCTTCATACCCGTACGATGGGTCTTCCTCAAACTGTTGCCACAAAGGTGGAAGCGCACAATTATGTAGCATTACACACTGCCCGACCAAAAAAAAAGTCGCTGTTTAGATTTTAATAGGCAAATACATAAGAGTCTATGAACGGATCATTATTAGAGTGACTATAATGTTTCTAGCATGTTCTATGTTTGGCAACAGTTCTTTTAATCTTAAAAGATGAAGTGTGAAGCTTTTTAGTTCTTTAATACCCACGTAGAAAGACGCATCATGGCCATGTTCCAGGACGACACTGCCGAGATTCATCAGGGTTAAAATTGTGAAAGAATGGTTCAGAGAGCATAAAGAATCATTTTCACACATGAACTGGCACCTCTGAGTCCTGACCTTAACCTCAGTGAAAGTCTTTGGGATGTGCTGGAGGAGACTTTACAGAGTGCTCACCTCTTTTATTGTCAGTACAAGATCTTGACCAAAAATTGATGCACTGCTTGATGGAAATAACATCACAAGATTTTGTATTGACAATGCAAGAGATGAGCACTGTTTAAAGTCTCCTCCAGCACATCCCAAAGACTTTCACTGAGGTTAAGGTCAGGAATGGAGGTGCCAATTCATGTGTGAAAATGATTCTTTATGCTCTCTGAGCCATTCTTTCACAATTTTAACCCTGATGAATCTCGGCAGTGTCGTCCTGGAACATGGCCATGATGCGTCTTTCTACGTGGGTATTAAAGAGCTAAAAAGCTACCACACTTCATCTTTTAAGATTAAAAGAACTGTTGCCAAACATAGAACATGCTAGAAACATTATAATCACTCTAATAATGATCCATTCATAGACTCTTATTTATTTGCCTGTTAAAATCTAAACAGCGACTTTTCTTTTTGGCCGTGCGGTGTAATTTCTCTTCACTGGAACGAAGATGTCCAAGCCTGTTCCATCATGACGGTGCCCCTGTGCACAAAGCGAGGTCCATGAAGACATGGTTTGCTGGAATGGAAGAACACCTTTGTGGTGAATTGGAACGCCGACCATGTGCCAGGCCTTCTCGTCCAACATCAGTGCCCAACCTCACTAATGCTCTTTTGGTTGAATGGGAAAATCCCCCCAGCCATGCTCCAAAATCTAGTGGAACATAAGCACATATGAGTATGATGGTCAGGTATCCACATATTTTGGCCATATAGTGTATAATAGGATGTAATAGTAAGTCTTTAAAATATAGTATACATCAAAAAAGGCACTGTTAGCATTCAGATGAGTCCCTGTCTTGTGTTCTTCTTCTAAAATTATTATCTGAGGCAAGGCAAAGGTGATACTTTCAGATGACAGTGATCTAAAAAAAACAACGCCATTGCTCCATTGCTATTCTGCAGGGCCCTCAGATCGCATACCCCCAATCATCCACCAAGGCCCAAGTAACCAGACGCTGACACGGGGCTCCAGTGCCAAGCTCCAGTGCCATGTGATGGGCATCCCACCCCCCAGCGTCAGGTGGGAGAAGGACGGGCAGAGACTGTCAGCAGACGGAGTCCACATCAGTCTGATTGAAAATGGCACTTTACACATCAGCAGCCTGCAGGTATTTGACAGACACTTTAAGGCAAAACATAGATTGTTGGCTTTCATTAGTGGGCTGGAAATTGAAAGGACTTTAGGCAGATATGCCTCTATCTCGATTTTTCAAATCAAGTGAAAAGTTCACAAAAGCACACAGCTAATGGGTACTGCTGAAAACACTTTCCATGACTCCACTAATTCACAGTTATGGAATATAAAGTGTTTCTTTGCCAACTTTATTACTGTACATTTAAGGCAGTAAAAGAGAAATCACTTTTGACAAAGTTAATACCGTATCCAGTATTGGTTTTTGTAAGATATTTAGAGAACCGGTCTGTTTTGACAAAAAATCTTATCTTACCACTACGCATTCTCCCAAGTAGAAATAAAGGTTCCTAGCTTAGAGTTTGTTTTTTTAAAAACTATTCACAAAACTTGCGAGAGGTACTGCAAAGAAATTGAAGGGATTAAGCTAATGTGAAGGACTGATGGAGGGTTGATCCCATTTCTATGACTGAGAAAGTGTTTTATGAATGAATATTGATAGAGATTGACTGATACTATAGCGTAGATGAAATTGCAATTCACACTGACCTATTTAAATAAATAAAAAAAATGAAAGTAACTAGCAGGATTGTATACTTTTATACTTTAATTATTTTTGGTACTGCTTTGCTTCTTTTAGTGCATGAGGTTTCTGCTTTTCTGAATAACGCCACAGTCATCACAACACCCTCACACCCGAGACATTTATATTGTTTATCATTAAAAATGGAACATCTTTGGGGTGTATTTTTGTGATCGTAGCACATGCGCAAAAACAAGGCATAGGATCAGCTCCTTGTGTAATTGTCATATTTTTATGATCATCAGCACAGGTGGTAATGTGACTCACAGCAGAGCAAAGATTGAATAAAAACATTATGAATAGGTCATGGTTAGGTGAGCTGCTATGAAATCCAGTCAAGTCATATTTTAGTTTCTCTTTGTTATTTGTCGTCATGCTTAGATATCCATAATCAGTAAGTGGTTTAGGATATTTTTATGTTTGTTTCCTTGGCGTACATTATTCCACTGAGTCAGAGTCACTCGATGTTGTTGAGCAACTAGCGGAGGTAGATGGATAGAGAAATTTGTCCATTTTTATTGCTGAACTCCTACACTAGTGCACTGCGTCAGGATAAAAACGACTAAAATAGCCAAACACTCCTAATTTAAATGTGGCTTGCTTTGTAGGTGCCTCCCGCTAACGTTTCAAAAATAATAACACACCAAATCGTTCTTCATATTTACCAGCGATATTCACAATATTCATTTGTGAAATAAATGAATAAAACAAAAGAGGAGATGCGGGTTTCTCTCACTTGTCAATCAAGCCTGGTCACAAGCTCTGTTTTGGGAAGCCCTAGGTTAAACATACAGACTTCAGGCTAATAACGATATCGAAGATATTGAAGCGAACCCGTAGAAATTCAGCGATGAATATAGAGAGATGAGTTCGTTATTTGTGAGCTGCAGGCGTACGCAAAGAGTCCATTTTATCTTCTGTATGGTTTATAATCTCTGTAAAATGCAACATTCGAGCATTCAGTGCAATATTCTGAAGTCTGTGCCTCTAAAAAACACGATCTGAACCATATTTAATAGTTTATTTAAAATAAAAAAAAAAGATAAATACCAAATTCACGCTTTGTGTTTTTATCAAAGGAACTGATTGCTCATGAGTCACCATACACTAATTATGTCTGATCACACTGTAAGCAAACACATGTTGTGTTAATGGTTGTAAGATGAGTGTAAATAGATGAGTTAAAGCTGGCTTAATTTCTTTTTTCTTCTACCAACCTCCCAAAGTACAACGCACTATAGGTGTTGTAAACCATAACAACACAATTTTAAAAGGCTTCCAGAGCATCCATCATCCTGTTATTACTCTAGAGTTTTAAATGGAAAATGGAAGCGTTATCTTGCTTCAGAAATGCTTTCAGTGAGAAGATCACAGAAGGTTTCTTTGGTTTTTTTTTTTTTATCCGTATCCCCAGCACTTCTCAAAATAAAAGTACTTCTTCTGATAGCAACTCACAAGCCGCTTGGGGTGAAAATCAGTCTTGATAAAATCGGTCTATGTATAAATACGTAATGCGTCACGGATGAATTTTGAGCGAGACAGTGTGTGCAACTATGACTCACTCATCCCATTCATGCGTTTCATACATTTAGTCATTGTTTGTTTCGTCGGTGCTTGGCTAGCTCAGTTGGTAGCACATGGGACTCTTGATCTCAGGGTTGTGGGATTGAGCCCCACGCCGGGCGCCAACCCCAGCCACTGGGGGTGCACAGGCTAGTGCACTAGGCTCAGAGCTGGTCCCAAGCCTGGATAAATGGGGAGGGTTGCGTCAGGAATGGCAGGTCAAACCTGTGCCAAAATCAATATGTGGAGGACATCAACGGAAGGTGATCTGCTGTGGCGACCCTTAGCAGTAGCAGCTGAAAGAAGTCATTGTTTGTTTCCTAACTGAACGTTTAATAATCAGTAAATAAGATTACGTATTTGTTTAGGACAAAGGTGTACAATGAATAAGGACAAATAGTGGCGCTCAGTTTTATGTAACGGTGGCCCGAGTGAAATTACTGCAGTTTTCTTGAATAGAATTGCGTTGAGAAACAAATCCAAATTGTGATTTTAATCTGAATTTTTGTTTAGCTTTTGCACAGACTTTTTACAAATCGGCTTGTACCCAATAAAAATAGCAAAATGATGATTTTAAGAATTGCACTGGTACACAAATAGAGCCCATTAACTTAACTGCATTGCAGATTGCTGTCAGAGGCCATTTAGGATTGTTTTTGATTTGTTCTTAGTAATGGGACTCTTCCGGACTTACAATTAGTTTTTTTTTGTTTTGATATGATTTTGATTCATGATTCAATATTTCATTATACCACTAACAATGCAGTGATATGATTTAATTTGATCTGATTTAGTAACCCCTGATCGATATCCAACCAACCAACGTTGTTCAGGATCTTGGGTAGGCTTACTGTTAATTTGTGAATGATGATGTTTCACATGTACACCTATGGTCAAAGTATCAGAATTAAGAGCAAATCACCTAACATAAATCACTAACACACTTATTTGGAGCGTTTTAGCTGTAGGAATTTTTTTTTTTTTTGGTAAATAAAGCGCCTGTATTGAAAATGTAGTACTTTTGGCAACTTTTGAATGACTACCATTTACTTCTATATATTTGTGTTAATATATGTACAAACGGCTTTTATCACTACTTGAGTGTACTCAGAGTTTGCAAGCATCCAAGAAGTGCTTTTGTTAATACTTGTTTTGTATGTCAGATCAAGTTTTTTTTGTTTCTCTTTGTCCATGCCTCAGTCCCATACAGTTGCTTCAGTCAAAATCCTATTAAGCACACAAAATTGTATTAGTAATTAATGAGCTCATTTAGAAATGTAAATAGTGGCTTTGACAGAGTACTGGTTGCGTTTTTTTTCTTGCCTCACCTGCTGTTTGCAGCACTGAACAGAGTGTATTGGCAATAGTAATTAATTCAGAGCGTATGTGATTTATAGTCTTGGGAATTCTAATTAGAAACTGTCAGATGAAGAAATACTTTAAGCTTTGTCCCTGCAATAAGATTCAGTCACAGTGGTGAACGGTGTAAAGAGCCTTCTCCATGCCCAATACATCAGCGGAGTGAAGCAAATCTGTCACGCCATGATAGTGTTGAACACAGGAGATGCATTAGCCTATCAAATGCTTAGATAGAGATATTTCCAAAAGTGGGCTGAAATGCTTAATTCACATTACTCTGTAAACCTGGCTGGAATACTAAAGCAGTGGGCAGCACTGAACAAGCAGCTCTCCTTTCTCCGTTCAGGTCTTTACGTGACCTCTGCAAATTAATATAATTTTTATGTAGCCACTGACACCTGCTGTTTATATTTTTAATATAAAATCCAATAATACATCAGCTTGCTGAATGTTGAATAATAGATAGTAGATACAGTATAGATACGTAAGATACACTGAGCACTGTCTTTAGGATCACCTATACACCACATTCATGCAATTATCCAATCAGCCAACATGTGGCAGTAGCAGTATCATGCAAATACATGTCAGGAGCATCGGCTAATGTTCACATGAAACATGAGAACGGGGGGGGAAAAAAGGTGATCTCTGTGACTTTGACCGTGGCATGGTTGTTGGTGCACAAAATACTGGTTTGAGTATTTCAGAAACTGCTGGTCTTCATGCAGAACACTAGAGTTTACACACATTGGTGTGAGAAACAAAAAACATCCAGTGTGTGGCAGTTCTGCGGGCGGAAACGCCTTGTTGATGAGAGAGGTGGATGGAGAATGGAGAGATGGATGGAGAACAGAGGAGAATGGCCAGACTGGTTCATGCTGACAGGAAAGCTATGGTAACCCAGATAACCACTCTTTGCAACCGTGGTGAGCAGAAAATCATAATCCCAGTACATCAGCGGTTTCAGGGTTTTCTTTATCCATTTTGATGTTTAATGTGAACATTAACTGAAGCTCCCTGTATTTGCCTGATTTTATGCATTGCGTTGATGTCATACGATTGGCTGATTGGTTAACTGCACGAATGATCAGGTGTAGAGGTGTTCCGAACAAAGTAGCCAATGAGTGTATAACCATTGTGTAAGTGTATATTTAGATATGCCTCACCTTTTGTCATCGGTTCCCTCCTATGGATCCCTAGTATACTGAAGTGGTTATGCTATTTTTAAAGCTGCTTGTAGATCATTTTAAGTGGCCTGTATGGCCTGATTTCAAGCTGTTAAACAAAGTCATGTACTCATGCAGAAATGTTTGTCAGTTCCTTGGGTGACCTCTAATTTCAGCAAACAGGCTGTATCTGCCCAAATGTCCCATTTGATCTGCTCCATTTGGATATGGAGCGCTGCTTGCAATTATCTCTGCCTGCTTTCGTCCATAAAGTGAGATTATTTGGCCTTGACTGTTGCTAGGAGACTGACTCAGGGATGTACACGTGTGTAGCCTCCAGTTCCACAGGAGAGACGAGGTGGAGTGGCAGCATCACTGTGAGAGGTGAGACAACAAAGAATTCTTGACAATGACAACTTTTTTTTATATATCCCAGTGCATGCCTCTGAAATGTTATCCATGCTTTCAGGGTACATGCTAAAAACAAGACATGCCAAGGTTGAAGAGGTATTAATATAAAATAATAAAGAAGAATAATATGAAGTTGGTATACTGAGAAAAAAGGGCATGTCAAATGAAGGGTTAAAGCAAGTAAAAAAAATGATAATTTAAACATGCACATGGTAATTATGTAAAATTATGTGCTTGGATGGGTTAAAATTTTCTAGATTTTTGGGGCATAAAAAGATAAGGTTGAGTTACCTCAAAGAGCAATACAACTGACTTTGAGGGGCGCGTGTGTGTGTTTGTATATCTTGGTGGTTTGTTTCCCACAAGGATAGGAATTTCTGACAGCTTTGATCTTATGGGAACATTTGGCTGGTCCTCATGAGGAAAACTGCTTTATTACAAAAACCACAGCTTTATTTAAAAAAAAAAAAGAGAGAGAAAAAAGGTTAGAGTTAGGTGAATGAATAATTGTCATTGGAAGGTCCTCACAAGGATAGTAAGACAAACATGTCTGTGTTACAGATACAGAAACGTCGTCCCTGGTCCGGCTCTCTCAGACCCTGCAGCTGCCTGGTCCCCCACTGAAGCCCGCTGTGACGGACGTGAGCCAGAGCAGCGTCACGCTGACGTGGCAGCCCAACCAGCATGAAGGAGGTGCTGCTGTCACCTCCTACATTATCGAGGCTTTTAGGTAAACCTGCTAAGATCTACACTGGTAATTTCACACCCATTTGCACCTCCAGTGTGTATTGTCTGTCTGTGAGCATAATGAGTTCTGGTGACTTTGTGACTGTGAATCACAAGATTTTAAATGCTGTGGAATTTGTCACTGTTTAGCTGAAGTGATAAAAGTCTGTAAAACCTACAGCACAGTTCTGACAGCAGTGCCTGTAATTCAAATCCAAGGTCTATATTAATACACTCATCCTAATACATTACTGTTCTATAGTAACAAATCATTCACAGGGACTTGTATGGCAGATGCTCCACTTAATCCAAGCTTTAATAATAAATGAATTATAAATATGTTGCTGTTTAACAAACAAAAATATATAATTGTTGATAAGACGAAGCTTTCTGTAAAGTCCTGTAAATGTTTATTTAACGTTTACGGTATGTAAGATGTCTTGGGTGTCGGTGCTTTTTTCCTTCATGGGAGAGTCTTCAGGACAGAGGGCTTTGTGCGTCCCGGTTTCTCAGTAACGTGACAAGCTGTGGTATTGTTGTCTTTCTAACTTCAAGAGAGAAAGAAAAAAGAGAGCCTGGTGAGGGAATCACTGTAGCTACAGTATATATGTTATGCTATATATGTAACTATAACATAAGTGATAACAGGAACTAACTTGCCTTGCAGATGTTAAATATTAAATGTATCTATTAGAAAGCATGGTGTGTGATCCATTACTAAATCAAAAATGAATAATAATTGTTGTTTATTAATAAATTAATCAATTAAAACTCATTGGTGAATCACTGTGGTACACGAAGAAGAAAACCCTTCAGGATGTGCTCTTATATGGAAATGATCAACTCGGTGGTAGTAACAGAATCAAGCTGGGCCACATTATACCACTCCATCATTGATTATTTTCCTGTAACAGCATATCCCAAAGTGTTTTATACTTAACATCAAACGTCTAGTCAACTCGACTCATCGCAGCAATGCATTGAAAGATGCTGAATGACTGAAATGGATTTTTTTTTGTATCAGTCACCTTTATTGTGTCCTTATGCCAAGCTTTGATTAGTGTACGCCCAAGAGAATGCAGTAATGGTTTGGTTAAAATAAGCTTCTTAGGCGGTCCCGGGGGGGTCATGGCAGTACACAATGTTGTGTTTTCCTCGATTTAGCACACCTGACTCAGCTGAATGGAAAATTCCCAAGCACCTCATTGACAGGAAGCTGTTCTATTTTCTTTCTATATTGTATTGTATTGTATATTATATAAACAGGTCAAGATATGGTCACTCAATTTATAGAATTAAATGTACCACCGAGTGTTGCGACACTGGTATCGAAACTCATTATTACATGCCAGTCTGCTTTCAGGTACAAACACAATGCAGTAGGGCTAACCCCATCCATCACACATCATTGTTTTAGCTTGTTCAGTTGCTCTTTCACAATGGTGTGTATTGTCGAAAGG